GATGTTCATTAAATGAAAAATAAACAACCTAAATTAAAAAAAAAAAAAAGAATCCTGAGGAAAACAGTTCTACTCTGACATGAGGTTGCCCTGACTTGGAGCTGCGAAAAGAAGAACTGACTTTTATTATTGCTTTTGCATTTTCCACCCTTGCCACAGCCAATATTATCATTCCTTGCTGTACTTTTTCACGTAAGCAGAATCGGGATCACAGTTGTAAATAGAAATCAGACGCAATCTATTTTCCTTAAGAAAAATCATTGTTTTAGGCATGAATTGAGTTGGGGTAGTGGCAGATATTGAATTGAGGTTCAAAGGAAGTTAGGCATCTTTACCTCATAATTTATCTGGATTGTGCAACAAGTAGAACAAATGTGGTGACTGTAACTAAAGAACGCTTCATGCAACAGAAATCATAGGATGTGTCCACGTGGATTGTACAGAAAAGGCCAGCACCAGCTTTACCCACAGCGTTGCTGTTGTTGTGAGATGCCGTCGAGTTGATGATGACTCAGAGCCGCCCAACGATCAAGGGAACCTAGTCGTATCCTGTGCCATCCTCAAAATATCTTTCATGCTCATGTTCATTGTTGCAGTCACTGTGTCAATCCATCTCACTGAGGGTAGCAAATGTCTTTTCTGGAAACCTCAGTGGGAAATCACCCATCGCATGGTAAACCCCGTGTAGAGAGCTCCACTATTAGCAATGCCTTCCTTCTCATGAACTACCATGTACGCTTACCAAAACTAGTGCTTCCTTCTAGAACTTTCTGGAGGGATATTAATATTCTACATCTGCACTGTCCAGTATGAAGAACTCTTGTGGCTGTTGGACACTTGAAATAGGGCTAGATTGACTAAAGAATGGAAAAGTTAATTTTGTTTCATTTTCATGTGTACAGTTCAGTCCTCAAATGTAGCTAGCGTATGCTGTATTAGATAACACAGCTCGAAAGCCAGGTAAAGTGAATTTCCAAATACTTCAGGCAGAAGAGACACAAGGTCAGTTGTAAAGCCTCTCCAACTCAGCAAGTGTTTCCAGATAAACCTTCCACACCTTAAATGTTTGTTACCTGGTTTCTAAATCCCACTCAGACTGTATAACTGGTACAGATTGGCGAAGCTCCAATCTCACTTCTCTCACATAATGTGGTCCCTGGATGCTCGGCTATTATTACCTGGATTTGATGTGGAAGAAAGATAAAGGCAGAACCCTCAGAGTCGGGGAAACCCGTAGTTCAGGCACAGCCATAACCAAGTGTGTGAATTTGGACTGTATCTTTGACCTCTTGACACTCCATGTCTGTCAACATAGAGTTCAAGCTGTATGATCTCTGAAGTCCCTTTGGCTGTAATGATTCCTTTCTTAGTTCCTAAAACTAAGAAGAGTAAAAAACTTAGACCTCTGTTTCTCAGAAGTATTTATTAAATGCCTGAAGCACTAATCATTGCATTGAATATTTATTAAAATAATCCTGCCCACCTGCAAAAAAAATCCCCACAGAAAAATAAATCCAAAGGGAAGTAAGGGTAAGGCCAAGCCCAAGACAATGTCCCTGTTACACAGGCTGGATGTTACCGGTTTAAAAAATTGACTCGACTTAGATTAACAATATTATCCTCTCTCTTCAGGCACAGACATTTTCCTTTCATGCTTACAAATCACTTTCCCATAAAATTTCATTTAACCTCCCAATTACCTAATAGATAGACAGATGAGAGTTACTTTAATAAAACATCATTTCTCCAAAGAACACAGAATGCCAGCTGAGAATCTGAAATAATACAAACAGGGTTCCACCCTTGGCCTTTTAAATTACCTTCATAGTAAATACAGCAAGGCAGGTGGAGGCTGTCAGAAGAAACAAATAGAAAAAAGGAAAAAAAGGTTAAAAGGTTTTGTTCTTATTATATTACGATTACAACTAGCATGTCCTGAACACCTCGTCTGTGCCAGGTCCTGTTCCAGATGCCCGTCCGAGGCCTTGGTTTCCTCATCCCACACCGTTTATAACAGCAACCAAGTTATAATAATAATACACTCATTTACTGAATGTCAAGCTCTGTGACTTTCCACAATCCTGTGAGATTTCAGTATCACAGACCAGAAAACTGAGACTCGAGGAGGTTAAGTGAGAGTTTCCATGTCACACAGCAAGTAAAAGTGTACATTCTGGATCAAAAACCATCCCTTTCAGGCCCCCACTCTTGACCGCATGCTCTGTTGACTGTGTGCGTGCCATACGTACTCCCAGCCGTCTGGAGCTGGCTCCTGGTTTAAGCATCCTGCTCCACCCCTCTCATCAAGCATGCCAGAGGAGAAAGGTTACCTCCTGCTAAAGAGGTATATTTTCTACTTCCCTAAACAAGAGATTAAAGTTTATGGCCTTGGCAGTTCTAGCGGAAATGGCCCATGGTCATGAATAATAGAGGCTTTGTTTCTGCAGCTCCAAACATCCAGCAGCAAAGTGAACAATTCCGACTTCATTCAGTTTCCAAAGCTCCAGATGCCTGGCAGCCTTGGTAGAACTGGGCAGGGCCAAGACCTCAGTCAGAAAAGCTGCCCTCTGAATATTGGACGTGTCCCTTTTGCTAGGTGTGACCTCAAACAAGCTCTTAAGCTTTTGTGGGCCTCAGTGTCTCCTGGTGATCTTTACTGCTGTCTGGGAGTATTAGATTGTATGGGATCAGGTGTAATATGAAGGTGTCAAGTAGTTGTTGGAGATCCCTGCTCTTTCCTGCCTCATTGCAGTCAGTAAGCTCTGCAACTTTGCTTCAGTTAAGAGCCTTTTGGTTCCTATCTGTGCAGCAGGGATCAAACTAGGAAAGAGGAAATAGGTTGGGTGGGGTGAGGCAATGCTGTGACTGGTACCCAGGATGAGATCAAAGTAATGCTTTTCCATAGAAGACTTGCTTCTGCATTTGAATCTTAAGTAATGTTTCTGAGAAACCTCTAACTGAGCATTTTGTGTTACGTACTTAAACTTCCTATATTTGGGGTGACATAAAAGTTAACCAATATTCAGAGGAAATCAACATGGCCTCACACATTTAGAAAAATGTAACTGCATGTTCTTCCTATACATGTGGTAAAAACCCTGGCAAGGCCAAGGAAGTGCTAACTAGGAGAGGAAGTAGTCACAGATACACAGATCAGAATGGTTTACAGTCATCACGTTGATGGTTTATATAAGCCTGTGGAAACTACTAACATTCTTATAAGCAGGGAACCATTGCCATTACTTAGGATGGTGGGAGGAAAAGTAGGACTTGGTAGTCAAGGTTTGAATCCTGACTTTTAGATTACTTGCTAAGTGACCTGGGCGAGTCACTGAATTTTCCTAGCTCTGGGATTTCCTGCCCGGTAAGAAGATGAAAAACACCAAAATCTCAGAGTTTTCTGATTCTGTAGAAATGGGCTAGGGTTAAATATCTGCATTTCTAACGAGTTCCTGGTCCTTGGAGAGAGACATCATGTTAAGAAAGGTAGTTGTTGTTGTTACGTGCCATCGAGTTGCCTGCAACTCATAATGACCCTATGTACAACAGCCCTAAACTCGGCTCTGTCCTGTGCCAATCGCACTGTCTCTGACATTCCCATCCTGACTATCCCAGTCACTGAATCAATCCACCTCATAGAGGGCCTTCCCCTCCTGCACTGTCGCTCCACCCTCCCAAGCATGATGTCCTTCTCCAAGGACCTGTCCCTCCTCACAACATGTCCAAAGTATGTTAGATGGAGCCTCAGAATCCTTGCCTCCAAGGAGCTGGCTGGTTTAACCCTTTCTGGCATGAATGGCATGAATCTGTTTGTTTTCCTAGCAGTCCATGGTACCTTCAGTACTCTTCCCCAGCACCACAGCTCAAAGGCATCAATTCTCCTTCTATCCTCCTTGGTCATTGTCCAACTCTCTGATGCATAACAAGTGATAGCAAAGACCATGGCCTGTATCAGACGCACCTTAGTCTCCAGAGAGACACCATTGCTCTTCAGCACTTTGGAGAGGTCCCTAACAGCAGACTTTCCCATGGCAATATGTCTTTTAATTTCCTGGCTGCTGGTGCCAAGAGTGTTGACTGTGGAGCCAAGCAGACTAAAGCTGTTAACAATCTCAATCTCTTCACTGTCTGTCCTGATTCTGCCAGTTGTCCCAGTGGTGAGAATCTTTGTCTTCTTGACATTGAGCCTCAACCCATATTGGAGGCTGCAGTCCTTGACCTTCTGCAGCAAGCGCTTCTGAAAGGTAGAGGGTCAGCAAAAGAGAGGAAGCTCCTCAACAAGACAGATAGATACAGTGATGATAAGAATGAGCTGGATATTTTTTACTCCGCTCATCTCTCCATGTTTATGCAGAAATAGGATTAGAGCCGGTAATATTAAAGCCATGGTACGAGCTTTAAGGATAATTGAGATCATTAAGGTCCCTGAAAATGGCTACATCTGAAAAAAAAAAAAGAATGGGCTGGAACATACCAGAGATGGGAGGATGGTTCAGGGTAGGGAAGCCTCAGCTCCGCTCTTTATAGAACTGTTGAGAGTCATAATGGACTCTAGGGAACCTAACGCCAGCAATAACAAAGTGCCAGATGATAATATGGGTTACTGGTCCAGGGACCTCACTTTGAGCATTCTGGGATTTTTTTTAAGAGTCAAGAAGATGAAGTAAAGCAAACACTGGGCTCCTAGCATGCGCATCATGAAACCTAGTGACGAGCAAGGTGGTGATTGGGTTTTTACATCCTTCTCTAGCTGATTTATTATTTATTACTACCATTAGGTGCGGGCAGAAGAAGAAGCTCGTAATCAATGGTAATGGAGCTGTGGAGGACAGAAAGCCAAGTGGACTCAATGGAGAGGCTAGCAAGTCCCAGGAAATGGTGCATTTAGTGAACAAGGAGACATCAGAGACCCCAGACAAGTTCATGACAACCGATGAGACACGGAACCTGCAGAATGTGGACATGAAGATTGGGGTGTAACACCAACGCGGTTATCTTGCAAAGAAGCAAAAGAGATATCACCATTACAGGAGCTGGGACTGATATTAACAGATGCAATGTGCTACTGATTGTTTTGTTTGGGATCTTTTTTTTAGTATAAAATTTTCTACTCCTTTTTTTTTTTGTTTTATTTTGTGTTTTGTTTTATTTTTTTTTAAAGTCAAGTTCAGTATCTAAAACCAGCATTGCTTTCTGAAATGAGGGTCCAATTAAAAATTAGCACGAATTTGACTGTTCCAGTTCCCACCTAGAGGCCTCTCACTCAGTGAAGTGAGCTTTAGAGAGCTTCTACCAAAAGCCACAAATACATCTTCCTGATACCCAAGCTCCCCGCCCCTTCTCCCAGGTAGCAGCTACCTGCTAAGAACATTCCCCAAGGCTAAGAGGGATTGGACTCAGGGAGGACATTTGAATGGGTCCGTAGTGTTCTTCCAGCAGCCCAATCCCTGGGCATTGCTTTCCACAGGGGCTGGAGATGGGAGTGTACTCGTTACCCATTCCTTTCTACAGACTCCTCTGGAAATTTTTCTGATGCTTCTGGGAGACACCCAAAGGGTGAAGCTATTTATCTGTTGTAAGCTATTTATCTGTGTTTTTGAAATATTAAACCCAGGAGGTCCTTTGAACAGTACAATTTTTTTAAAAAATTACTTTGTCAGAAGCATAAAAGAGCTTAAGCTGATTCACAATAAACATCTGTACTTCTGCCACCTTACCTCTTTGTGCTGTGAGCCTTCTTTCTTTTCCAAATCAGTGAGATCTGGGTCTCCATAGCCAGTCAAAGAAGTATACTAACAATCTTCATTGGAGCCTCAGGCCTTCATTCAGAAGATCAAGGAAGACAGCACTATTTTCTATCTGAGGCTATCCAAAGACCTTCTGTTCCAGCTTCAAACCAGCATTAGGAGGAAAGAGATCGAACCAAGGTTGTGTTTTATTGGCTCCCTGTTGCCCTCCTGAAAGGATTTGAAAATTCAAATAAGATTTGTGTGGCCTACCATTTGTGGGGACCCATTTCATAGATGCTGGCCCTAGTAGCAATGCCCAACAACAATACAAAAGTGCCTCTTGTACTAAAAGAAGTCAATGACAGTAAGAGCGTAGTCAGTGAATGGATTGGCGTGGCTGGGTGAAAGGGGAACTATCAATCCTATGCAAATATTTCAATGGCTCTGTTTGTTTGTTTATTTGAGATTAGCTCTAGTGGTGACAATGTCCTTAGAGATCTATGCTGCTAAACCGAATGTGCACTGCTCCTCTGGCGATTGGAATCCAGCAGCAGTGACAAGGGAGAAGAATGAATAATCCCTTTCTGCGCAGTTTACAGCTTTGGAAACCCAGTGAAGGGTCAGATATGAGTCGGTCTCCACTTGACCACAATGAATTTGGTTTTGAATGGGATTTACTTATTTATACTTACAAGTCACTCTGGTGCACTTGCTACTCAGGGTAAGTTAGTACCTGGGGAGTCCCTCCAAGATTACAAGGGCTACCCATAATTGGAATCCTTTCACCAGATAGGGGATTTTATGGCTAAATAAGAGAATGCTGGCTTTGTGTTCCAGATATTCTCCCCCTACCACCACTGCACCCTACTGTTTGATAAATCCTTTGTGGTCTTAATACATAAGTCAGCAGCCTCAATTTGTCTTGGGATTGCCCTAGTGGTCTAGTTACCTGAAGGCACATGGTTCAAATTCACCAGCTGTTCCCTGGGAGAAAGATGGACAAGCTCCTCCCATGTGATTTTATGCCTCTGAAAATACACTGGAGGGCCAGCTATGTGTTGGTTTCAACTCAATGGTACATAACAATCCAGTATAAAAGACTGAATCTGTAAATTAAGAAGTCTTGTAAAACTGGATCTCTTTCCTTATGGCCTCTGTAAAGAGTCACCTGTTGCCTAAACTTGTCTAATTAACTAGTTAACTAAAGGCACACGGTTCAAATCCACCGGCTGTTCCGTAGGAGAACTCTCAGAAGGGAGGGCGGGAAGGGGCAGGTAAGGAGGAAAAGAAGAATGAGGAGGAAGAGAAAAGCTCTCACATGTAAGAAGAGTTGCTTCTAAAATACACAACTTGAAAAAGAGATGTCCCCTTTCACAACTTCTGCCCTCCTCGATCTTTCTCTGCGAACATCATCGGCTAATTCCATGATTATCTGTCTTGATGAATTCCATTATCATTTCTTTTTATTCCAAGTTGAAAGGAAACAGACATCAGGTCTTGATGATTCTTGCGTTGTATTACCACCACTAGTGTTAAAATTCCACAGCTGTTGCTGAGTTTTCCTGAGTCAGTTCCAGATGAGACAGCTTACTCAGGCTTACAGGTCCAGAGGCAACAAATTGCTTTGGCGCCAGGTTCAAAAGAGTTGCATGAGAGTCTTCTATTTATCACCTGGATTCTCTCTGAGGATATAAATGTTAAGTTTCATAGCTAGGGATCTATTCCCACCCTGTCAGGTATCCCCAAAGAAAGAGATTGAGATAGGAGGTTAATCTAAGTTTTATTTTTTAAATGGAATAATTCTATTTCCTTTTCTTGCTATTATCCCTTACTTGGTTATTCTTCTGTGTTTACAAGATAGGAATAAGGGAGTTTTATTGCTTCTTGCAAAGCAATAAGAGAGCTGCCCAAGTCTTTGCGACATCCCTGCACTATTCCTAAGAAACATGGGACTGGGTGTTTTCTCACCTGTGTAACATAATGGCATAATTCTAGAAGCATGGCTTGACGTCTTATGATTTGCCAGGTGACTTGAGTTGAGTCATTAACCAGTAGTTACTTGCTATAGCTTCAGCTCTGATTCATGGTGATCGCATATGCATCAAGGATAACTACGGCCCACAGAGTTTTGAATGGCCGAGTTCTTGGCACGTAGGTCACCAGGCCTTTGTTCTAAGGCACCGCTGGGTGGAGGCAAGTCTACAATCTTTTGGTTAAGGTCTGAACCTATTAACTGTTTATACCACCTGGGCCTTATTTGTAGTAAGGGTTGGTCATGTAACTATTTTCTAAAGTAAGAGCTTAAGGTTTTGAAACATTTTTAAATTATGATTCAGTTTGCCTGGAATCATAAATCATATGTGCTTCCCAAAGGCATTCCTTCATTAGTGCCTAGTGGAAAAAAAAATCCAACGGGACAAAAGACATCTTTGCATCCATATTTTGCTGATTATGCCTTGGGAAAATGGATTTCTTTAACAAAATCTTTTCAATAGGTATATGTTGATATTCATGACACCGAGCATCTATCCACTTATCCAAGGTTCATCCGATACTACTAAAACAATGGATTGGGCGAGAGGAAGCCTCCTCATTCTCTAAAAGTGTAAAATGCACTTAATAAAAAGAACATGTTTTATTGACCTTTGTGTCATAGGAATATCTTTTTGCAAATCGTTTGTGTTGACTTTGTATGATGACCACTGCTACTTTGGTTTTTCCTACCACACCCCCCCTGGTTTTTGTATATTTATTGATGGACCAATAACAATAAGAAAAACATGTATGTAATTGCCCAGTTGAAAGCACTTATTGGAAAATATTAAAAGGTTCATAGAAACATGTTGAGGAGTCTCTAATTTAAGGGAGATGGGAGGCTGGGAATGGCAGAACTGTCATTTTCTGACTCTGGGTAATTTGGAAGTGCAAAGCCAAAGGTTTCAGAAATGATTGACATCTTACACTCATTTTCTTCCCTAGGACGAAAAATTACATGAGTTTACATCACTTCAAAACCTTTCTTTGGTGAATATTTTTATTTTTTCATAGGAAGTTTTGGGTCCACATTTTTTTCAAACTATATGAGATCCCATACATTGTTAGTTACAAGAGCTATACCTGAGTATAAATTAAAGAGAGGGAAATGAACATATTTACCTATGTAAGTATATTTACATATTTTTCATTCAAGCTCTCTGAAAAATACAATAGTGAAATATTAAAAAAAAGACATAAACTAATAGAGTCAAAGAGAATGGACAAAGTGACAACAGCAAGGAAATTGGGATACTGTGAAGTGAGAGTTACTTCTTAACTGGTTAGGCAAATCTAGAACTGTGACTCCTAAGCCAATAACTAAGAATACTGGTAAGAAACTAGGTTTATGTTAAAGAACCACCAAAGGTTGAGGAATTTGCACGATGAGCTACCTCTGGCAGTGTATGTAGTAAGGTGGGGCTAAAATAAGGAGTTCTTTTACTCTGATTGCAATATTGCATCTTCACCACTGGACCAAGTGACAACATCAAGATAGAGAAAAAAAATTGAAGTTGTCAATCATTTCCTCTTGGATTCACAATCAACACCTACAGTAGCAGTAGTCAAGAAGTGAAAAGGCACATTTTGCATTGAGAAAATCTACTATAAAAGGACCTCTTCAAATACTAAAGAGCAATGATATCAGTGTAAAGACTAAGGGGCACCTGATCGAAAGAAGATGAAAACTTAAAAAGATCACTAATAGCATCTGTGAGATAAGATATTATGTATGAATCCAAAACACAATGTTAGGATTTTAAAAAGACCATACAAAGAAGACATGCAAAAGGGAATCTTTAAAAGTAAAGATGTAAGTTTAAAGTATAAAATAAAACATAAATCCAATAGAAGGGTTGTAGGATAAAGTTGGAGAAATATCCTAGAAAATAATGACAAATAGAAACAGGAGGGTAGGGGTGGGGGGAAAGAAGCTTTGAAAGAACTAGGTAGGGAGGCTAATATTCACATAATAGGAGCTACAGAAAAATAAAATGGAAAGAAAGAAATCATCTAAGAAAGAGATCGAGAATTTTCCCCCAAACTGAAGAAGGTAGATATTTCGATTAAAAGAACCAAGTGAATGCATGTTGTTGTTGTTTAGTGCTGTTGAGTTATAGATGACTCATAGCGACCCTATAAACAAAAGTCCTGAACACTTTTGAATTAAAACAGACATGCACTGAGTCATTTTATCTTAATAATTCAGGGTAGAAT